CATTGTATTTGTATTTTTTACATTCTCAGTGCTTAAGCGTTACGAAACCGTATGGTCTGTCAAAGTGGTACAGATGTAATCCAATTCCCGAATACAACTGATCACTTACTCGACCACCCCTTGTAATAACAAGTCTTGTAATCAGCTTTCATCGACAGCTAGACAGCTGTCTAGCAAAAGTTAGCTTTGAGACTCAACTCGATGAACATCGAAAGTGTTCTCGTATTATGCCGCAACACGCACTGCAACCTTCTGTATATTTAAGCGCCCTAAGGAAAAAACTAGCCATAGTATATTCCTGGACAGTCTTGTGGCTGCGATCTAACAATGACCGCTCCAGTTCCTATTCTTTTCCAGCCCCGGAGGGCAAAAGATCGCTCAAATCCGGCAAGACACGAATTTGGGGATATACTATTTGAGGTCTCTTATGATCTTCATGACTCTTCATATGAATTCTCAACGCCCGATTTCTAGGATACGACTTCCCGCAGACTGTACAGTGATAATTCCTTTCCCCCGTATGTTTTATCATGTGTCTTTTCAACTCATAACCTTTTTTAAATGACCACTCACAGTGGTTGCACTGGAAATTGCGTTGCAACGGAAAATGTATGGATTTGATGTGACTTGCTCGTTTTCCACTAGTTTTAAATGACATGTTGCAATGTGTGCAGTTGTATGAAACTTCCTTTTCGCTATGGGCCTCGTTTAAATGGTTCATGCGGTCATAGTAGCTTATAAACCGCACACAACAGCGCGGGCATTCATATCTTGGTGCCGTAGCATGGGCTTGTGCTTTATGGCAGTCCCTAGCCGCTTTCATCGTAAAGATTCTGCCACAAATTTTGCAAGGAAACGACCCAGATATATGAACTTCGGAATGCTTCCTCAATCTTGGAGCAGAAATATATCCCTTTCCACAAATGGCACAAATATAATGCTGATAATGTTCGTTCATGTGTTCGTACAATTTAAGAAAGTTATTAAAGATTTTCTGGCATATGACACAAGTCCATGAATCTTTGTCAAGACAGAATGGTAACACACCATCTGGATGATTTCGATCTATCTTATACCCGTGTACATGCACATGATCTCTCATTTGTTTAACATCTTGTAAAGGTGTTGCACAGATCCTGCAAGAGGAATTAGTCAGATCAACATTTATGATAGCCATTTCTTTGAATTTGCTATAAATATCTTTGACACTGTGTTGTGTGGCACATATCCGAACGTGATCTCGAAGGTCTGAACATTCCGTAAATTCAGAGGCGCAGTAGGAGCATCTGAATTTATTCTTTACCCATCTAAACGGTATCATGTTCCAGCATTCTAAGAGTGTTTCCGCGTTTTTCTTTGTATTCAGTCTGGCTTCGGACCGCGCACTTCTTGGACGATGCCTTGTATCCTTTCTTTCAGTTGTTACTAGAGAATCTTTCCCGTCGTCTCCTAAAAATAGAAAAGTGACGAGTCAAATAAACAGAGTGGTTCCAACACCAGAAATCCTTTAAAAAGCAACCTCCCCCAATCATTCTTGCCACTTTTTAACCAACGTCAAAAAAGGAGGAGGTTCTCAATTCGACTGTTTTTTTTTTGTATGTATGTTACGCGATAACTCCGGTATTTGTGAACCGATTTTGATGATTCTTTTTTTCTTGGAAAGAAGGTACCTTCATAGTGGTCCCATTTAATTTTAAAGAAAATCATCCACCTCTCTTTGTCATGATTCATTTTTATAAACAGCGCTTAAATTTTATTATAAGGAGCAATTATTTTAATGGCTGATTTTGCTATTCTCCAATTCAATTCAAGGCGTTTTTCTCTCTCAATATACTTTGAGTAGTGAGAGCCGATTTTTATTATCTCCTGTGTCAAGTTACATATAGTGGCGAGCTAGGGGATAAACCCGTGTTTGCGCAATTTCCGGTAACCAATTTCAATAAAACTTGGCAAATAGATGTAATTCCAGATACTTTTGAGGTCGGTTTTTTTAGTACTCTGTACTGAGATTATGTTTTATCAGTATACCACCTTGCATTACGAATGAGCAACAGCCAACAAATGACGATATCCACTTTATTAAAATTATCTATGAAAAGACCAATGATCTCACAGGTCGCAGCGAGGGTAGGTTGTTGGAGCTACATTTTCCGACCCCCAATAATGAAAGATTTTTTTTGTAAGAACATGTGACGGGACGAACAAGTCGTGCGCCTGATTACTAGCTACACGCCTGTCCATAACAGTTGCAATGCCACTCAGGACTTCAAATCGCAAAGATCTGAGGGGTTAAGTTGACAAGTCCCATGTACCTGTAATTTCACCAGCACCCTTAACCCTTCAAAACCGGAACACAACAACGGAAGACATTACTGCTTGGCGGCAGAAATAGGTGAGATGGCAGCACTACACTGGAGAAACTCTCTCACAAGGATCTCTACTGCTAGGTAGTAAATATGAAATAAAATTCTTAATTTGAATTAACGCGGCTGTTGAAAAAGGAATGCTATCTTTCTAATCGAGAGAAATAGACGTGTCTAAATCTGCCATCCTCATCATTGTCTTAACGCAATCGACATTTTTAGCGAAATAGAGTTAACATATCTGGAACCAGCGAAACGAGATCTACAATCCCCTCCAATCGATTTTTTAATATCTTATTTAGTTTCAGTTTTACTTTTAAGAAAAAAATTTTTCTAAAAAAAAAATCACTTTAAGTGCCAATATCTCCAGCATCCTCGCAATGGCGTACTATTTAGGTATGTCCTGTGTACGTCTGGCGCACCCTGAGTACGATATGCCGATTGGCAAATGCTTTCACTACGATGGCAAGCATGGCTCACACTTCAGCATGGCGGCTAATGGTAGCGGTAATGTTATTTCACGAAACAATCTTTACAATTTTGTGGCTCGAGAATCCCTTTTAAGTAATAAATGATACTTGTGCTAGGGATTCCCGCTCTTTCTTACTTTAAACAATATCGAAATTTAAAACTGAGTGATTGAGTTTAAATTATACAGGCTTTAATTTGTAAAAAGGACAAAGAATAGACATTTAAAATTAACAAAAGATTATGAATATCAAAGAATAAAATGTGCGAGTAGTGAGTGAGTGTGTGTGTATGTGGGTGAAGTGTGTTATTTGTGTGTTTGAATGAACAGGATATACGTGGGTTTGCAAGTTTATGATATTTAATTTAATATTAAAGTGATGCAACAGACAAATCTGCGCGGAAATTCTATAACGGAACTTTTATCGGTTTATAACGTCCGCGATGCTAGGCGTGAGGCGCATGGATCTTAGTAGTTTTGTGTTAAGTGTGTAGTTATAAAAAATAAGCACAAGCCTTGTTTGGAACTATTTCGTTGAGGTCATTATAGTATTTACACTTCCGCATCCGCCTCCGTTACTTTTGACGTCTGTTTCCGTTATGACGCTTCCATTGCATCACTAGTGTATGCTATCGATGCAATAAGAAGCATATCTCAAAAATTGGCTATCCGGCGGCCGCCGCGCGAAAACTTTCCCCTCGTGTAGCTGAACTGGGTGCTAAGTGTTGATCATTGGAAGCAACACTCAAATGCTTTCATGTTTTTGAGGTAGTCTGTATTAATAAAGTTTAGGCGTGGAGAAAATGGGCGTCATTGGTATCAAACAATGGAAGGTCAATTACATTCTAAATTAAACTCTAAACAAACTGAACAAATGTTAGAAGAATAGGCAAAAGAATAAGGTTTGGTGCCCATTACAGTTACAAGCTACTTTTCTCATTAAAACTAAAAAAGTAATAATTCAGATTCAGTTTATAATATATCACATAATTTATTTATTAAAGCAATAGACAGCTGCTATTAAATATACTAATTATTTAAATTGTATACACCTAGATTAAATAAGATAAATAAATGTATTGATTGTTCACAACATTTCTATATCTTAAAAGTCTATACTACCTCAAATGCCTTTGGTTAATTCCGCACAATAGTGAAAGTGTTGAATCAATTACTTTGGGAAAAAACATATACTATAATTGAGGGTATACACTGATTACTGTACGGTATGAAAACATTCCTAAAAAAAAACAAACTTACCGCTGTAGGAAATGAAACTATTTTTCCGGATTTAAATCGCGTATATTTGTTTTTTCAAACAAACCGACGTTTCGGGCCCTTTACAGGTCCCATGGTCACGGTTGACTGAGGTGGTACAGTCTTCAACCAGTTATGTCTAATATTGATGCAAAACCACCCTATTTTTTCACTATAGTTACAATAGTTATTAATTAAATACCGCTGTATATATTAATTGCCGCTGTATATCAATGGGTACTTTACATGCACCAATGAAGGCTTTTTTATATCAACTGAACTAAATACAACACGTATTGTATGCGATAAACATTATCCTAAAAGCTTTAATTTCGTTTGTAAATAAATAAATTCTGAAATAAAGCCAGTGCCCCGCCGCAATAGAACCGATTCAGTGTGGGAAAAATTCGAGCTGAGGTAGGATCGACTCATTAAGTTTTAGCATTAAAAACATACAAGATTTCTTATAAGAAATATTGTCTGAAGCTTTAAAGTGAATAATTCGTGTGTGAATTTAATATATTTTTTCAGAAAGAACAAAAAAATATCCTATAAAATACAGTAAACACTAGTCTTTTGTAGTTAACATTAAATATTCGTTGAGTGTGCGATGTAATTACACCATTTATTCGTATTTCCAATCGCACTGCTATTACAATAGTGTTGTAACTCAAGATATGTGAAATTTAATATTATATCATTAATGAACGTACAATTTGATTATCTACACGCCATTAAAATCGTCGTTAGAATATTGTAAGAATAATTAAGATTTTAATTAACCAAAATGAGGCACACTTTTTGTGACCTAGTTCTGACCAGAATAATCTTTATTCAAAAATATGGAATTATTTTTCCAGTTTTATTTTAAAGTATACCTATTTGGCAGGTAGCAAATTTAAAAAAGTAATGAACTATGACCTATGACCTACGCAAAAAAATGTAATAATCTTGTACGGGAAGCGATAGTTTTTCACCGATTCTGAGAAAATACACTTTTTGAGTTAGTACACTATTATATCAACAGTGCGATATGTTTCCTTGCTTACATATCTCGCTTTTCTATTGAATCGCACTGAAATGAATCTGTACAAAAAATCGTACACACTCGAAACAATTTCCATAAAATTCGAAATCGTAATGTGCATCTCTAGTAGTAAATTATATTTAGTCCACAGGATTGCAAAGTGGATATTGTGTGACATTGCCTCTTTTTCGTCTAATAAAGATTTTTCCGGCCCGGGTATTAACTCATTTTTGCCCAAAATCGTGGGCGGAAACATGCTACACATAAAATAATACGGAATTTGGTGTAATTCCAAACTTATTACAAATTTCGATTTGTCTCCGTTTCGTGAAAATAACTTGTTTGATCTCGTCTTTGCTATTATAGATGGACCGAAGTGCAAAAGGAGTAGTGCTAAAATTAGTCCAGGTTTTAGAAATGCCGAATGAAAACGAAATAGAGGTTAAATGCATTAATTATTACACTTCCAATTCAAACAAATCGAATCATTATTTACATTCAAAACAAATAAATAATAAATGCATGCAAAATGGCTTGAGGTTCTAGCCTCCGCGAGTATTCATAAGTAGAATTCAAAACCTACATTATAAATTGTGATGTACATATAGGTATTATATACAATGGAATGCAGTTTTAACTCACGCACAAATATTAAATTTGGTTTAAGTTTCTTTAAATGCAGCGACACGTCTACAGACTATCATTCTATATTATGAGACCCATTATGAGAATCAATATTTTCAGAAGGTACTTCTAATGCAGAAGGTATTTCTAATGCATAAGGTAGTTCTAATGCATAAGGTACTCGTAATGCATAACGTTGCCTTACTTCTAATGCATTAGGTACTTCTAATGCATAAGGTACTTCTAATGCATAAAGTGCTTCTAATGCAGAAGGTACTTCTGATGCAGAAGGTACTTTTGATGCAGAAGGTACTTCTAATGCAGAAGGTACTTCTAATGCAGAAGGTACTTAATGGTAAGATTGAGAATCACATTACACTTTTCCGTTACCAGTAATGTAATTCCTAGGATTGCTCAGATCACAATGATATTTTAGAAGAAAATACTAAGATTTAGCATAACAGGACCGCGAAACACTATCTCAATGGGCGAATTTCAGTCTAGCTCGGCAAGGACAAAGTTCACGTTCTAAAACTAACCAAATCTAGAGGTTATTACTCTGGCTACTCTTTAAAAATAATGGTAATTTCTCTTTGTTTTGATTTGTTGCAATTTTGCTCAAATACTCAACTACGTGATCAGATATGAAAATGTTTCTTCGCTATATGTTTATCCAACGACAACTTCGTCACAAATGCTCTAGCACAATGCAAGCATGGAAAACTGTATTCCGATTCTTTCTTAGTACGATGAGCTCTCACATTGTGATGGTATTTCGAGGATCGAGACTTAAAAGTCATGTGACAAGTTGTACATTCATATGCTTCAGCACCAGGCTTGTAATTATGGAACTCCATTAGGTGTCGCTTTCTGACCTCCCATGTAGCAAACCTTGGTTTCTCTTTGCAATAATTGCACATATAAGGGAGAGTAGTATGCTGAGTTTTAATATGATGGTTACGCTCTTCTAGCGTAGAAAAAGTTGCCACACATCTTCTGCATGTATATTTATTATCATGTGGTATTCTGGTATGAGAAATGAGCGCAGATTCAGTAATAAAGCCTTCGCCACAAGTGTCGCATACGTAATTTTGAAAGTGTTCAGAAGTATGTTTCTTTAAAGATATGAAATCTGCGAACTGAATTTTGCAAATGGCGCATTGCCAAACCGACCCATCGTTGAGTTTAAAAGGTAGGACTCCGGGTTGAACATCTAAATTAATCGGTTGTTTGTGATCATTTTTTAAATGCGTCAATAGATCGTCTAAAGAATCTATTGCCATGTAACAGAGCTTGCATTGAAGATCAGTTATATCAATCTTTAAGAATTCCTTACGAAGTTTTCTACTAAATACGTGTTGGATGTTGTAATTTGCATGTCGTGTTGCCATATGGGTTCGTAGTCCGTTAGGATCGTTGGATTGTACGCGGCAAAAGACGCAGTTGAAATTTTGTCCCCAAGTCCTAAACGGCCGTGCAGTAGAACATTGAAGAATAATCTCCGTGTTACTGCGATGTTTCATCGACTTCCCATACCGAGGTTTGTACGTGGACTTGTAACATTTAAAGTTTCTTTCGTGTTGTTTCAACCCATGCTCGGATAGGAATGTTGCGCTACACTTTTCACAAGTAAAGATCTTGACGTGAGTTCGCAAATGTCCGTTGATTTGTGAGAATTCAGAGAAAGATTTATCACAATCCAGGCACATCCAAAGACCAGTAGGTCCTTGACGGTACGGTAAGACTCCAAAGGGCACTTGGAAATTTACAGGTTTATCATGCTCTCTCGATAAATGTGTCATAAGAGTATCAACGTCTGGAATATCTTGCATACATTCTGAACATTTCAGATCTGTTATATCTATCTTTAAGTCGTCAATAACTTTGTAAAATGCGCTGTTATGATCAGCGTTTCCATGTTCATTCTTGATATGAAGCCTTAAAGCTGCCATTGGTTCGAATTCATCATGGCAATATGAACATACAATTCTGTTGAATCGCGTTTTAAAGGGTATAGCGGTTGAATGCTTTAACATCAGCACCGCGTTCTGTCTTTGAGGATTCTGGTTAACCGATCGTTCGAATAATTTCTTTTTCGGTTTTATTTCTTTTTCTCTCAGTACCTCTTTCCGCTGCCCTAAAAAAAGAAAAGAACTATATCATTATTATATTCCAATTCGTTCACTTATCCACTATATCTTTCGATTCTTAAATTTAGCAATCTACAGTTCCAAAACAATATCAACCATCAAAATGTTTCTTCGCCATGTGTTTGTCCAAAAACAATTGCGTTGTAAATGCTTTAGGGCATACATTGCAGGGATAATTTAATTCAGATTCTTTCTTTGTTCTATGATTCCTTGCCATGTGATTGTACTTCCCTGAGCGGGTTTTAAAACTCTTCTGGCATAATGTACAGTCATACTTCTCAGGTCCTGATTGGTAATTATGTACTTCCAGTAAGTGCTTCCTTCGCAATTCCCAGTTAGCAAACCGTGGCTTATCTTTACAATAAGTGCATACGTAAGGTGTACTAGTATGCTGCGTTTTTACATGATGATACCTTTCATCCAAAGTGGAAAAGGTAGCGTTACATCTACTACAATTGTACTTATTTTCGTGTGGAATTTTCGAATGTGCAACCATAGCCGATTCGGTTATAAACCCTTCGCCACATGTAGCACAAACGTAATTCTGAAAATGTTCCGACGTATGTTTATTTAGAGAAATGAAATCTTTGAATTCATTTGGACATATTGTACACTTCCAAATAGACCCATCGTTTAGTCTAAAAGGCAAAAGACCTAGTTGTCCATCTGATATTGGTTGTTGATGATCATTCTTCAAATGACACGTCAGTATGTCTAAAGTTTCAATTTGCACGAAGCAAAGTTTACATTGTAAATCGGTTACGTCAATTTTGAGAAAATCCTTTCCCAAATTCCTGTAAAACGCTGCCTGTACGTCGTAGTTAGCATGTTTAACGGCAATATGTCGTCGAAGATTACAAGGATCACTGGTTTGTAGTCTACAGAAGACGCAACTGAAATTATTCTTCCAAATCCTGAACGGAGTTGCAGTACAACTTTGGAGAATAATTTCAGCATTAGTACGCGGTTTGAGAACTTCTCCATTCCTTGCTTTATAAGCGGATCTAGAACACTGAACTTGTCGTCTGTGATCACGTAAGGAATGCTCCGATATAAACGTGCTCCCACATTTATCACAAGAAAAGCTCATGAAGTGGTTCCCGATATGACGTTTGAAGTTGACGAAATCAGAAATTACTTTAGTACAATACACGCATAACCAATGTCCCTCTGCATTCTGCTTATAGGGCAATACACCGAAACTGGCATTCATTTTGAAGGATTTTTCATGTTTTTCTGTTAAATGAGTCACTAAAGTCTCTACATCTGACAATTCCTGATTACAAATCTTACATTTCAAATCACTAATGTCAACCTGAACCAGCTTATCCTTAGCTCTATAGAATATGTTTTTAAAATCTGTTTTTTTATGATTGGATCGTGTATGTTCTCTGAGAAGAGTTAGTTGTTCAAACTCTTCATAACAATACGCGCATAGAATTTGACTAAATCTAGTTTTAAAGGGACAAGCAGTGGAAAACGTTAATATCATTTCCGTATTCCGTCGTTGCGGTGTCTGGTGGACAAGGATAACTTTCTTTCCTTCAGTCTCACTGTCACTATGTCCAGCTATTTCCAATATGGCCCCTAAAAACAAAGAAAAATTACAATCAGTTTTATGATACCCCCAAACCTAACTCTACAGGTTACATCCGTAAAGCAAAGACAATAGTAAACATGCAATATCTTTATTGTGAGTTAAGGAACAATTTTCGTTACAATTAAAACTGTATATTGACTTCAGAATGGTAAGATTTCATATGTGCCTTGAAGCTAACTTTTTGAGCAAACTGTTTTTGACACACCGGACATACGAATCGCTTTTGCTCGCTATGTATCCACATGTGTTGCTTCAGATTCTTCTCTCTATTAAACGCTTTATCGCATACGACACATTTATACATCTTGGCCCCGGTATGTCCTAACATGTGCTCAACCATACATTTCTTTTCAGCGAACTTCATATTACAAGCAGTGCAAGTATAGCTGTCAGACGTATGAGTTATTTTGTAGTGTCTATAAAAATCTTTTCTCTGATTGTATTTATTCCCACATTCAGGGCAAACATAGGTTTTTCGCGCTAGAGCATGAACTTCTTCGGCGTGTCTATATTTCGCTTCTGCGGACATAAATCTTTCTCCGCAAGTGGTGCACGCTACAGGCTTGCAAGCGTCAGAATTTTTCACATGTTCCTTCCTTGATTCTAAAGTAGGGAACTCTTTCCAACATTTCCTACAGGGAAACCCTTTTGCGCCATGGCTACATCTAATATGGTATCTCAACCCTTCATTGTTCTGATAAGTTCTGCCACATGTATCACAAGTAAACTTCTGAAAATGAGTGCCTATATGTCTGCTTAACATGTGCAAAGTTCCTGCTCTAGCTTCGCACAAGCAGCAACCCCATCTATCATCAAATCTATACGGTGTTAGCGAAATGGAGTAATCCAAATTTAATCTTTTAACATCGTGAACATCGTTAATATGTTTAGCGACGTCATCTATCGAACTGAAAGGTAGCCAACATAACTTGCATTTGAGGTTCGAGATATCCACTTTCAAAGAAGCGCTGGATCCGCAGTGATAGAACGCGTAGTCGATTTTAAATTTCTTATGTTCTTCTTCGACATGGCGTCTGATCTCAAAAGGGTCTTGGTCTGTGAACTTGTCGCAGCAGAATACACAGATTATGGTCTTCCCTTGGAGCCGGAAGGGACACACATTTGTGTAACGCAAAATTACTTCAGCATTGCGTCTCGCCATTGTAGCTGCACTCACGCCTAGAAACAAAGGAAAAACTATTGGTAACTCATCTATCATCATTATAAAACGCTTGAAAGCTGTCGTGGGCGATTCATAGTAGAATTTGGACCCATTATACGCCTGACAATGACGTAATGTCTGAGATACCAAAGCCGTAAGACGTGTGACTTTGCGATGATTAGGTATCCTTTAATTTCACGTAATTTTGAAGAATGCTGCGTGGAAAGGACGTTCCGGGTGCTTCGTATTTATTGAAATGGTCATTCTGTAGTAATAACAGAATTTTTTAGGTAGCTTTTTAGGATACGAACGACAAGCGTTATGGTGGATGTGTAACAGATCCTGCGGCAGCGGCAGTGCGTACTCAGGTGATTTGATGGTATTGTACGTGATTGTTATTTTAGGACAGTATTCCAGTTTGACCATAATAGAGTATTTAAAATATGACTAGTCAAGGAAGAAACCGCCATTTAATACTAAAAATAATCTAGGATGATCCCCTGAGACAGTTCATAAAAATCTACACAATATAAACCTGTAACGACGTGCACTAATTTACGTATTTCATAAACAAAGTATTTTTATAAGCCTCGCTTTTAAATGAATAGTCTTTGTTCTTTGTTTGTTAAGGAAATAAACTAAATTAAAGTAAAAATAACACCAAATCAATGAGTATTTGTAGGAAATGAGTGGAAAAACATTTTTTTTAATTCATTAATTTTTACAATATGCAAAGGTTACGTCACTACACTGCATTTACTAGGGATAGCATATCGATAAAAAGATTTCGATAATTGAATGAATAAATGTATAGTTCGGGTAATCATTCTTAAAGTATGGATTTTTATCTTATGCAATGAAATAACATGATAGCTTTAGTTTTTTTGAAACCTATAAATTGATGATAGGATAAATAAACGTTATTCGACATTTTCTAAAATGCTACAAACGAAAAAAGAAAGAGGAATGGTTGGAAATTATAGGACTGCCGAACATAAACATTGGATCAAATACCATCTTCGTTCGTTCGCTCAATTTTGAAGAGTCAAATTTTAATAGAACTTTGAACTAGATTACATGATAATGCAGTTCCATTGTTACATTCATTGGTAAGTAACTTTATATTTAATTTTGATTAAAATGGCTCATTACTTGCCTAGTAGGTAATAATAGCCTAGTATTAATCATACTTTGATTACAGTAAATTATACAAATTTGCAAGCATACAAAACAGTTTCAACATTCAAGCCATACATTTGGATGTCGATATCGACTTATCTATGATTATGGTACAACACTAAATCCGCCATGGGTGATACAATTTTGTACCACACATTACAAAATTGTTAGGTAGGTAGGTAAGTTGTTGTTAGGTAGGTACGTTTATTCCGTAGATATGGCAGCTCCTTTCCTTTATTTTTTCCATTCTCTAAGGATTTAAAGCTCTGAATGGTACTGCAACTTATTTTAAATTTCAAGTTATGGACAGGCGTGTCGCTTACCACCAGGCGCACGACTTGTTCGTCCCGTCACTTTGTATCATAAAAAAATTAAAGAGCGTAATCAACTCCAGCGTGGAAGTATCGAGGTACTGAACTTGCCCCAACAAGATAATTACGTGAAATCGAAATGAAAAAAAAAACGATAATATTTCTTGGCGTTTATTGTAATCAAAAGAACTTACTGCAACCTTAAATCTAATTACTAAACTAAATAACATTGGTACAACTATTAACTGTTACCCAAAATTAAGTTAATAACCATCGCAGCATAAAAACTGACAGGTACTGAAGATAAGGGTGTATTTTAAAGTTCTAATTTTCTTGTGTTATGTGTCGTAATTGAAGAACATTAAGAATTGCCTCATATTTCTTACAATAAAATTATTTAAAGGCACCTTCATATTAGACGCTTGTAAAAGCGCTAATTACTAATTTTCATACAATATCTAGTCTGCCAACAGGCGCATGCGAGGCGTAACTGTGGCGCTGCAGCTACATTTCTAAATACAGTATGAAATCTAGTAGCGGCGCGGAAGTCGCGCGTCTGTTGCGCTTTAGTAATTTTTAGTTCACTAATTTGTGATTGCTAAAATGGCGTGCGTGTCACAATAGTAGCGCTACAACTGCGCTTCTAAATTAGTGATGCGCGACTTTGAATGTTAACTAATACTAATCATTCGTCTAAAAGAGGGCATTCATTATCCTGCATTGCAGTCCACCTTG